ACACACACACACACACACACACACACACACACACACACACACACACACATATATATGAGGCAATTGGGATTAAGTGACTTGCCCAGAGTCACACAGATAGTGAGTGTTATGTGTCTGAGGCCGGATTTGAACTCAGGTCCTCCTGACTCCAGGGCTGGTGCTCTGTCCGCTGTGCCACCTAGCTGCCTCCAGAATCATATTTTTTAAATGCATAAAATAAAATACCTGGGATAACAAAGCAAATCAAATATATTGAGATGCGATTATCAAAGTATTTTAAAGTAAGTTCACAGACCCCAAGTTAAGAACTCCTGATGTAATCCTTTTGTTGAGGAGAGAAACCGAGACCCAGAGTAGGGAGTGGCTTGTCCGAGGTCCTATAGCTAGTAAGTACAAAAGTTAGGACTGGAACCCAGGACTTGTGATACTGATCATGGCAATCTTTCCACTGCACCATGCAGTACATCGATAATCATGGGGTGAGTGAAGGAGCCTGCTCCATTTCCAAATACCTTATAGTCTTATCTCCAAAAATATGTTTTGTAGAAAACACTTATTGTCTGAAGAGTCACGCACCATCCCCCCAAAAGCCCGCCTTTCTGCCAATAAATAAGAAATCTTGTTTCCACAATGCAGACAGACTCAGGGCCAGCAAGTGTCCTGCAGAGAGCAGTTTGACACAGTCCTTCTTCTCATCTTTGGCAGTTGAGTGGTTCAGTGGACAGATCATGAGACCTGGAGTTAGAAAGCTCTGAGTTCAAATCCAGCCTCAGACACTTACTAACTGTGTGACCCTGGGCAAGTCACTTCAACTCTGCCTCCATTTCCTCATCTGTAAGATGGGGATAATAATAGCACCTACTTCACAGGGTTGTTGTGCAGATCAAATAAGACAATTATAAGGTGCTTAGCACCATGCCTGGCACATGACAGGTACTCTGTAAATGTTAGCTATCATTATTATTATTATTATTATCATTCCACACATGCGAAAATGTGAGATTTGGATTAGATGAATTCTAAGGCCCCATCTGGCTCTAATCTATATAGTCCAAAAATCTCATTTCCCCTCTCTGGGACTTGGTTTTCCTCCTCTGTAAAATGGGAGAGTTAGACTAGGTGACCTCTGAGAAACGTAGCCTCACAGACCTGAAGCTGGGGAGGATCTTGGAGGTCATCTAGTCTGACCTCCTTATTTTTACAAATGAAGAAACTGAGGCCAAGGAAGACCAAGTGACTTACCCAAAGTCACACAGATAATAAATGACAGCTAGGATTTGAACCCAAGTCTTCTGGATCCATTGCGTGGCCCATGAGAGAAAGAGAGAGAGAGAGAGAGAGATTGTAACCACTCTTCATGTCTGGGGTAAGGGATGCATGGTAGACTGGCCCTCGCTGTCACAAAGGTGGGATGGCTCATGATAATAAGCATTGTGGAGTAGAAAAAGCACTGAGCCTGAAATTTGAAGACCCAAAATCGTCTGTTCTTGAATAGTTGTATGACCTTAAACAAGTCACTTCACCTTCTATGCCTCAGTTTCTCTATCTGTAAATGGAAGAAAGGGGTCAAGGAGCATGATCTCCAATGAGCCTTTTGGCTCTAAATCCTACCAAACCCTTTCTCCGCAGAGCTGGAGCACGGAGCATGGGCCCTGGGGCATAAGCTATGTGCCATCATGGTGAAGCAGGAGCAGAACCTGGGGCCCGAGCTGCCCGGAGACCAGCTGGCAGCCCCCTCAACGGTTGTGCTCCCAGGCCCAGTCAGCACCACCTCCGCCGACATGCCAATGTTTAACCTCGGCCCACTCACCCGGCTGCCTGCCCCCCAAGAGGTGAGCCCTGGCTTCTGGGCATCTTCCCAAGCCCCAGTGCTGGGGGAGAGAGGTATTTGTTTGTGTGTGTGTCCATGGGGGAAGGAGGCGTGTGCCATGAGAGGGAGCAGTAAATGGTGACCTGCCCTGAGAGGGAGGCAGGAGCTGGGGTTCAAGTCCACGCTTCAATACTTGTCCAATGTTCTAAAGGTCGCCTCATATTCTGTGATCCTCTGACAAAGCCCAATTTTACAGATGTGGAAACTGAGGTTTGAAAAGTGGAGGCGGCCAGTCTGCTAAAGGTGGATGGAACTAAGAAGCAAACCCAGATCTCCTGTCTCCAAGCCCAGCACCCTCTCCCCCCTCAGAGGCCTCATTTTTTCCTCTTTTGTAAATTGGGAGCTAGGAAGAGACAAGATTTCTAACTAAGGTCCACAAGTTATTTGAGTAACTCAAATAACCTGTGCTTCTTATGGGGAGGTTGGAATAGGTGATCTCTAAGGTTTCCTACATTAGTATCCCAGATTTAGACCTTAGAGGCTTTCTGGTATAATTCCCTCATTTTACAGAAGAGGAAACGAGGCCCAGAGAGAAGGAATTTGCCCAAGGTTACTCAGGTAGTCAATATCAGAGGTAGGATTCAAACCCAGGGCATCTGACCCCCAATTCTGGGCTCTCTCCACTGCCTCACCTCTGGTCTTCTTTTCTCTAGTCATTTTCTCTAGTTATCTGATTCTTGGACCTTGGGCAAGTCAGTTTCCCTTTCCTGATCCCTGGTTTTCTTGTCTGTAAAATGCAAATGGTAATTCTCTCCCACAGCAGTGTTGTGAGAAAAGCGCTTTATAAACTGTAAAGCGCTTTGGAAAAGTGAGCTCTGATTATCGTTGCTGGAGAAAGCAAGTTTCTGTGTGTGCTTTAGGGCAATGGGGAAACTGAGAGGAAACGGTTTCTTGGAACTCGTTTCTGAGGCCTGAGCTCTGGAAAATGCATCAGAGGCCGAAAGGGCCAGGCGGGGTAACTGAGGATATTTAGGATGCGCTTTAAATGTTGCAAGGCTTTTAACATCCTTGACCTCATTTGAGCCTGCCTCATGACAACCCTCGGAGAGAGTAGCTCTTAGGGGCAGCTAGGTGGCACAGTAGATAGAGCTTCAGCCTTGGAGTAAGGAGGACCTGAGTTCAAATCTGCCCTCAGATACTTACTAGCTGTGTGACCTTGGGCAAGTCACTTAACCCTGATTGCCTCACCAAAAAAATTAAAAAATGAGAAAGAAAGAGAGCAGTTCTTATTATCATCCTCATCCCCATTTCCCAGATGAGGAAACTGGGCTATGGTACAGTAAGCACAAGATTTGGAGACAAAGGACCTGAGTTCAAATTCTAGCTCTGCCTTTACTTATAGAACCCTGCGCAAGGCACTTCCCCAATCTGAAAGGGCCTCAGTTTCCTCATCTGCAAAATGAGAAGGTTGGACTTGACAACTTGAAGGTCCCTTCCAGCTCTAAATTAATGCCTGTAGTATGAGTGATTTACTCAAGGTTACACGTAGCTTGTTAGTGCCCGAGTCAGGATTAGAACCCAAGTCGTCCTGATGCCATGTTACTTATTATCCCTATTTTTTTCAGAGGCTCAAAGAGGTAGCCTAAAATGACTGTAGTCACATAGCTAGGGGCAGTGGCAGGATTGGAACCCCAGTCTTCCTAGCTCTAAGACCAGTATGTGGTGTAGTAAATAGAGCTGGTCTTGAACACAGGAAGACCTAAGATCCAATCCAACCCTGCTCAGACACTTCATAGCTGTTTAGCCTGGGCAAGTCATTTACCTCAGCCTTGATTTTTTCATCTGTAAAATGGGGATAATAACAGAACCTACCTCCCAGAACTGCTGTATGAGATAATACATGTTGAGTTCTTTATAAACCTCCAGGCCTGCTTTAGGGCTCGATTGCATGGTGCTATATAGGACCAGCACCAGAGGCTAAGGCCATGGCTCTCTCTTTTTCTCATCGCATTCTGCCCTCCATGCACATACACAAACACACCCATTTTCAGCCCACTTCTCCAAACAGGCATTTTAAAAGTGACTTAGTGGTTAAAGCAATGGGCTTAGCGTCCAAATCTAGGTTCAAATCCCACAAGCACTCACGAATTCTGTGACCCTGAACAAGTCACTTAATCTTTCTGAGACTCAGTCGACAAACATTTTTTGTTTCTTTTTTTTAAAAGAATGGGCTTTTTTAAAATTTTGTTTTCCCCCAACTACATGTAAAAACTATTCTTAACATTTTTTTTTATAACCAACAAGCATTTATAACAAGCACTAATTACGAGCCAGGTGGTTGCTGAGGCTTAAATAAGATGCTATAGGTAAAGTGTTTGTAACACTCTATAGAAATGTCAATTATTAGGATGAGGCCTAAAATTTAGAGGGGACCTGATTCACATTACCCCCATTTAACCTCCAGAACAACCCTATAAGGTAAGCAGTAGAAGTATTATTATCTCTATTTTACAGATGAGAAAACTGAGACTCAGAGGGGTGATGTTTTTTCCTAGGGTCACAGGGCTTGTAAAGGGGTCCCTTGCAGCACCTTCCCTAGTCTTGAGCCCAGGGCTCCAAGGAGATCTTGAAGACCTATTGACGGCCAAAAAGCCAGAACACAGACTCAATCCCAAGTGTCCTAGCCCAATGTCTAATATTCTACCCACTGCATCACATTTCCTCTGCTTCTGGCTCATGCCCTCTGGGGGAGCATCAAGGGTACTGCTTTCCTGTATCCCTGAATGGTGTATACAAAGGGAAAAGGAAAGGTTTAGTACCAGAAGTTCATCATCATTTCTTTGTGATGGACCCTTTTGGCAAGCTTTTAAAGCTTATGTATCTCTTCTTAGAATATCGTTTCTGTTTATTTATTTTAGTCAGTACTTTATTTTAAATAAGATTCTTTTTTTTTCAATTAACAAAATTTATTTTCTCTCCCTCCTAGCTAGGGGGAAAAAAAACCAAAACCCTTGTAACAAATATGCATACTCAAGCAAAACAAATGCCCTCATTGGCTATGTCCAAAAATATATGTCTCATTCTGTATTCTCCATCATCTCTCAGTCAGAATGGTGAGGGGGCAGGGGTGGCCTACTTCATCTTCTGTCTTTTGGAATCATGGCTCATCTGGTGTGGATCAGAATTTTCAGAGCTTTCAATGTTGTTTGCCTTAACAACGTTGTTGTTATTGTGTAAAATGTTCTTCTGGTATATCAGTTCATACAAGTCTTTCCTGATTTCTCTGAAACCATCCCCTTCATCATTTCTTACAGCACAATAATATTTCATTATAACTATGCCCAAAGGGCTATAAAACTGTGTATGCCCTTTGATCCAGCAATACTGCTGCTAGGTCTATATCCCAAAGGTATAAAAAAGGGAAAAGGATCGATTTGTACAAAAATATTTATAGCAGCTCTTTTCGTAGTGGTTAAAGATTGGAAATCAAAGGGGTGTCCATCAATCGGGGAATGGTTAAACAAGCTGTGGTATATGATTGTGATGGAATATTATTGTGCTATAAGAAAGGACAAACAGAATGGTGTCAGAAAAACCTGGAAAGGCTTACATGAACTGAGGCAAAGTGAAATGAGCAGAACCAGGACAACAATGTACAGAGTAACAGCAACATTGTACAATGAAGAACTGTGACTGATTTAGCTATTCTCAACAATACAATGATCCAAGACAATCCCAAAGGACTAATGATGAAACATACTATCTGCCTCCAGAGGAAGAACTGATATTGTTTGAATACAGACTGAAACATGCTATTTTTCACTTTCTTTCATTCCTTATCTTTTATTCGTCTTCTTGTACAAAATGACTAATATGAAAAGGTTTTACATGATTACGCATGGATAATCTATTTGATTGCTTACTGTCTGGGGGAGGAAGAGGGAAGGGGGAAGGGGAGGGAGGGAGGGATAGAATTTGGAATTCAAAACTTAAAAAAAAAAACCCAAATGTTAAAAAATTGTTTTAACCTATAATTGAGGGAAAATATATTTTTAAATTAAAAAATATATTCCATTATATTCATATACCATAACTTGCTTGGCCATTCCTCAGTTGATGGGAACCCCCTTAGTTTCCAGTTTTTTGCCACCATAAAAATGAACTGCTACAAATATTTTTGTATACATGGGTCCCTTTCCTCTTTCTTTAATCTCCTTGGAGTATCGGTCTAGTGGTGGTATCTCTGGGTCAAAGAACATGCACAGCTTAGTGACTTTGAGGACATAGTTCCAAACTGCTATCTAGAATGGCTATACCAATTCACAGTTTGACCAGCAGAGCATTAATGTGCCTGTTTCTCTAGAACTTCTCCAACAGTTTTGCCAATCTGATGGGTATAAGGGGGAACCTTAAAAGTTGAATTAATTTGCATTTCTCTAATCATTACTGATTTGGAGCATCTTTCATATAGCTATTGAAAGCCTGGATTTCTTCCTTAGAAAATTGCCTGTTTATATCCTTGGACCACTTATCAAATATGATACAGCTCTCATTCTTATAGATTTGAATGAGTTCTTGGAAATGAGACCCAAATTAGCGAAACTTGCTGCAAAGAGTTTTTCCCCCAGTTACCTACTTCTCTTCTAAATCTAAGTGCATTGGTTTTGTTTGTAAAAAAAAAAAAAAAAAAAAAAAGTATAACTTTATTTAATCAGATTGTCCAGAATGCTTTTAATGCATAAAATAAAATACATAGGATTACAGAGGAAATCAATTGTATTGGAATAGTTATCAGAAAACATTTTTAAAAAATCATGAACCTCAGGTTAAGAACCCCTTTTCTTTTTTTCTTTATTTTCTTTTATTTTTATTAGTATTTAATTTTTTCCAATTATATGTAAAGACAGTTTTTAACATTCATTTTTTATAAAATTTTGAGTTCTGAATTTTCTCCCTCCCTCCTTGCCCTCCCCCTGCTTTTTTTTATTCAGTATTTTATTTTTCCCCAGTTACATGTAAAGACAAATTTTAACATTTGTTTTTAAAACTTTGAGAAGAATTCCTTTCTAAGGTTTCTTCTAGAACTAAGCATCTACCTTTGAATCAATTTAAATTCTGGCTGGATTTAGTGACAGTGCAAAATCCATTGGCTTCAAAATTGGAGGAACTGAGTTCTAAACCCACCTCTGGCACTTACTACCTGTGTGACCTTGGGCAAGTCACTTCCCTTTTTAGGCCTCAGTTTTCTAATCTGTAAAATGAAGGGATGGGGTATACTACATGGCTTCTGAGATCTCTCTGAATCTTAATCTAGAAGCCCAGAAGGTCTGTGGATAGATTTCAAGGAGTCTGTAAACTTGGATGGGAAAACCATTACATGTTTATTTCAATATAATTGGTTTCTCATATAATCCTACGTTTTTTATTTTATGCTTTTAAAAACATGATTCTGAGAAGGGGTCCCTAGGCTTCACCAGATGGCTGCCCAAGGGGGATGGGCACAAAAAACGTTAGGAACTCCTTCTCTGGTGGAACTCAAACTCAAAATCTTTTCATCCTTCCAGTGCCCACTGAAAGTCCAATGTACTCTCTCAGTTGTATCCCACCCCAACCTGAACTCTTCCAGCAAGGGCCGGATAACCATTAGGTTGTGGTGGGAATTCCCATTGGGGACAGGAGAGACTAGATCAGGGTCCCTGGACTAGATGGCCTCCACACTAGATAGCCTCTGAGTTCTCTTTCAATTCAGAAATTCTATGATTTAGTAATTCCATATCTGCCATATAACTGGCTATGTGACCTTGGGTAAGTTACTTCCTGGGTTTCCATTTCCTCATCTATAAAATGAGGGAGTTGACCCAGACCTCTAAGGCCCTTTTAGTAATTCGCCTTCCCTTTCATTGAACACCCCATCCCCAGATCCTTGCCAGGGACCAGGTTCTCCATAGACCCTCCATAGATAACTTCATACCATGAGAAACTCATAGTATGGCCCTAAAAACTTAAGATTGATGGTACTTTTGAAAAAGTTAACCCAGATGGTAAAGGTGGGATTTTACCCATCCATCCTCTGTACTGGAGGCCAGCCTTGCTCCCTGCTTTAAACAAAGGCATTCCATCCGTCTGGGTCTGGCCTCTTGGGGTACAGACTGGGAATGGGCATGTGGGAGCCTGGCTTCTTGGGGTACAGACTCAGAGCAGGAATTCAGCTACCAACTAGCTGAGGTTCGAAGGCGGCCCCTGAAGTGTCTCTATTCCTTGGGACCTACCAAGGAAGTTGCTTCAGATCTGGCTAGATTCAAGACCCCTCTGCGCGGTTCCATCTCTACTGCTCAACAAAGTCGGGCCAGATGGAAAGGAAGAAAGGACTCCCAGGCTGTTTGTCCTGGGAGCACCTCCCCTTCACCCCCCATCTCCCCCTTCCAACCCCCCATCTCCCCCCCCCCGCCCGCTTTGGCAAGGCTTCAGCTGTGATTTATACAACACCAGGTCTCTGTGTCCTGGCCCCTAGGGAAAGGAACGGAGAGAAAGGAGGAGGGTAGCAGAATGAGGGAGGGAGAAAGGCAAAGGGGGAAAGAGAAGGAGAGGAGGGAAGAGGGAGGGAAAGGAGGGGAGAGACGAGGAAGAGAGAGGAGAGAAAGGGAAATAGGGAAAGGGGGAGAGAAGGAATGA